TCCCGGAAGCGGCCTCGCATCAGGGGGGCTCCCCAGAGCCACTGTAAGCCCCCTTGGGGCTGCCACGGGCACGCCGCCCCCGCCGAACAAGAAGATGGCGGCCGCACCTCGCGTCTTGACGTCACCACTGCGCGCCGGCAGCGCATGCGCGCGGACCACGGAAAAAAACCGCCGAGGCAGAGCGGCCCCACGGGTGCGAGCAGTGCGGGAAGGCATTCGCGCAGGCCGGCGCCCTGGCCAAGCACCGCCGGGTCCACACCGGGGAGAAGCCCTACCGCTGCCCGGTCTGCACCAAGGCCTTCGCCCTCTCCTCGGGGCTGGTCCTCCACAAGCGCACCCACACCGGGGAGCGGCCCCATGCCTGCCTGCTCTGCGGCAAGGCCTTCATCTCCTCGTCGCACCTCGCCCTCCACCTCCGCTCCCACACGGGCGAGCGGAAGTACCAGTGCCCCATCTGCGGGAAGCTCTTCCTCCAGTCCTCTCACCTGGTGCGCCACAAGGCCATCCACACCGGCGAGAGGCCCTTCAAGTGCGAGGACTGCGGCAAGCTCTTCGGGCGCGCCTCGCACCTCGAGACCCACCGCCGCGTGCATACAGGCGAGAGGCCTTTCAAGTGCCTGCAGTGCGAGAAGGCCTTCACACAGAAGGCTGGGCTGGTCCTCCACATCCGCCTGCACACTGGGGAACGGCCGTACAAGTGCGACAAGTGTGGGAAGAACTTCCGCTCCTCTGCCCACCTCATGTCACACCAGCTTCTTGAGTCAGGCGAGAGGAACTTCAAGTGCTCCACCTGTGGGAAGGCCTTCAAGCAGGCGTCGTCCCTCAAGCAGCACCTGAAGACCCACGAGGCACGCGAGCCTCACCACTGCTCAGTCTGCAGCAGAGCCTTTTCCAGGTCCTCTTACCTCCAGCTTCACATGAGAACACACAGTGGGGAGCGGCCGTACCACTGTTTGCTTTGCAACCGGACATATGCCAAAATTTCCACCTTTGAAAAACATTGTAAAAAGCACCAGCAGGATGAAGAGAGGCCTGATGCTGGACCCAGGTCGATGACTACCAGGGCAAAAGCACTGGCTGAAAAGAAAAAGCAGGAGCAGAAATGGCAACACCAAGATGACAGCCTCGAGCAACCTCACCAGGCTGACCCAAAGCAGCAGCAGGTGGAAAGGCTGTAAAGGTCACTAAAACAAGAACTGTTTCTGGCCCTCTGCAACATGGCGCATGGGAGCTAGAGTGTCTGGTTTAATATTTATTAAAAGAAGATGACATGCTGCACCAGCATTACTCCAGAGCGTGTTTCCAAATGGAATTCTTCCTCTGACACAAGGTTCAATTAAAACAGTTCTCTGGGGTGCAGCAGATACGTAAAAGTCTGCTGAGGCTCCCCGCAGTCAGTGTAGCGTGGTTACAGTTACAGGCCCGTTCACGGGCCCCGGTGGTTTTGTTTCAGGTCAGCAGCATTTTCTAACATAGACTTCCAGGTGTTCCTGACCAAAGCACCTGCTTTTACCCAGGTTGAATAGGGGGATGCTTCTTTGTATGCGGAAATAAATTAAGTTGTAGTCTCTTAAACAAAGGCAAAGGTTTCGTTTGAAGAGGCAAGAGAGGCGGCACACCTACAGAAAACAAATTTGTACCAACAGTGGGTTTAGGAAGCAACCAGAAATTTATCCTGCAAAACGTGATTTGTTTTTAAAAGTCCAGTACAGAGCAAGAAGATAGCATCTTTGAGCCTTTTCTGTTTTTCTCCCTGTTAATTACAACAAGGCATTGTACTTAGCATCCAGATAATGCTGTGTATGAAGTGCGTTTAAAGCACGGCAGGTTTTATCTCAAGCATGGTTAAGCAACTTAACTCATCTTTCTCAAAACTAATGAAGACAGGTGTCAAAAATCTGTAATTCATCTTAAATTGAATGAGTCTGACATTTGAAATACCATCTTGTAGTAAAGGTACAAGAATGATTTTTTTTTTTTTTTTTTTTTTTTTTTTTTTTTTTTTTTACCCTGATCTTTTGGGAATGTAAAATGTAGTAACAAGGGAATTCTAAGCTCCCTCTCCTTCTGAATTAACAAATGGCTGTAGCTGGTTCGCTGGCCAGTCACCACGCTGAGGAAATGAGTCAAAATGCCACCAAAGGGTTGCTGTCGAAGCGGAATGTTTCAGATTTATTCTGGGGTGTGAGATCAGACTCCAGTGAGTACTAAATACCTTTGTAAGCATTAACAAAACTGCCTTTATTGCAGCAGTGTTCTTTGTGAGCCAGCACTTTGTACTGACTAATTTTTATAAGCTTTATGTCATTCTAGCAACAGTACTATGAGGCAACTTTATGCCTTTATCGCTTATTGTTACCCAGGAATTTATTATAGCAGAAAAAAGGAAGCAGTAAGTTCATTTTAAGTGCCCATTCCTAATTTTCTGTACCAAGTCCCTGATTTTTTTAACGCTATTTCCCTGCCTTGTGTGAAAACACGTATTATGCACTTTAAGGATCTTTTTGGATAGGCTTCTGGGTTTGGTTTCTATAGCATATTCACAACTCTGTTTTAAGGTCAAAAAAGGAGTTTTTGGAAAGCTTGCACATTTAAAGTATTGCAGTGTATCAGGCCAGAAATCATGTTAGTAGATGATAGAGCTGGATTACATCTAAGAACTAATTTACAGCTAACAAAACTGCATTGAATAATTCTCTAACTTTTTGCACTTCAGGATTTACTTGATGCTGGGTATACTAAGATACAGCTCTTATTGTTGAACTGATGTTTATATTCAGCTGGTTAATATACTTTAAATATTTACGTGGTCAGATATTTCAAATGAGATGTTTCTAAGCCAGAGTTTCTTGTCATGACAAATTCTAATGTAAATTTTTGCTACAGTCTTTAGATTTTGTTTTGTGACCAACTGTGTTGTTTAGGAGGAACTAGACACACTGGGTTTTATTTCCAGTTCAGTTATGCCAGTGCCATATAAGCAGAGTTCTATCCTTTTTGTACTTCAATATATGTTATTAAAATAATATACACCACTATCTTTTTCTCCAGGTACTTTTTTTTTTTTAATCCTCTTCTCACCTAAACATAAAAGTTTGCTTATGGAAGTAAAAGCATTTGCTAATTTTCTAGCATTCCTTAAAACTTAGCTTCCAAAGGTAACTGCAAAATAACAATTTCTCTTTATTTCTGGCATTTTTCTTTGCCAAACATGGACAACAATGCCATGGTGGTTGTGTCTGTATTTGTAATGTGGCATGCCTACATGCAGAATCAAAGTTTCAGTGGCAAGAAAATATAAAAGTGGCGTTTTAAAGATCAGTTTAATGTTGCTCCTTAATATTTTTGGAGGTGTTTTGTTTTGTTTTGTTTAAAAAGCTTCCCATTTTGCTCTTCTAGTTTCCTGCTCTGTCAGCTGCCTTCCCCCTGCAGTCAGAAGTTCACGTTGTTCAGGATGCAGGGTGAACTCAGACTTTATACAGTAAAATCCAGTGTCGAGAATATTTCAGTGGAAAAACTGAAAATATGCTCTAATGCCCTGACTGTTGCAGTACAGTAAGTAAGGCCAGGCAAATCCTTTAGATTTAATATCTGGTAGGGGGAACAAATTAAATCTGTGGATCACTCACAGAAATGCTGCCACTTTCTTTTGAAATGTATTTTTCAGCTTAATGTACAGAGGGAGCAGGAATGTGCTTCCATGTCACTAGACTGCCAGGAGGAGCACCTCTCAGTGCTGTCACAGCTTGCAGTGCAGAGTTCTGAATGCGTGGGAGACATGGCCCAGCAGCGCAGTGCTTTGTTTACACAATTGCCTTATTCCATCCAACAAGGTCAGGAATGTTCCTTCTCTGGAGTCTGTAAAAGTCCACATTTGATTTGTGGAAAAAGCCTATTTTGTTTTTAAGATAAATTATTTTTCTTGCTGTCAACACATGAACTCTGCTATTGAGTGATTCAGCCTGAATGCACATCCCATTGACAGATGAAGAATATGTTTTTTCAGATGTGCTAATAGCAATAATCAGCACTCCCAGTAAAATTAGATCTTACATGGAAGAACTTTTTTGCGGGGGTCTGTAAGTGCTCTTCCAGTGCTGGAAATTTTGCATCTGATCCAGAGAGAGGGATCAGAGAGATCTTTCACAGATGCGCTTTGCCTATAATTATCTGGGGAGAGAGTAAAAGTGCAGATTCTAATCTGCCAGAGCAAACAGTAATGGCAGCATTTTAAATTATGAAAATGTAATTCAGCAGGGGTACAATAGAGCATGTCTGTACTAAATCTGCCCCCATCTGTCACTTTTCTAGTTTGTGAAGTTAATTTGAGTCTGTTAAACGTCTCAGGCTCCTCCTGCTGTTGTACTTTCTTCTCTTTGTTTCACTATTAGTACTGTTGATAAATAGTTCTTGTATTGATGGGGCATTTAATATAAGAAACCATCCTTTGGTGCCCTTCCTGGTGGGAAATTCACTTGCATCCTCTGTTGAGCTCCATGTTACCAAAACAGCCTTTCTGCAGGTTGTCAATGTGCCAGTCTGTACTAATGACAAAAATGTGGATTTTCTAAGCTCTCCTGGGATTGATGCAATGTCAGATCAATCTAACCAGTGCCAGTGAGGTATTGTAAGAGCACACACACCTTGGGTATCCAGCAGGCTGATTCTGTTGGCTGGGATGAGGGCATAACTAAAAATTATTTCACAATGTCATTAGCCTGTCACCTTCCCTTCCTGAAGAGTGAACTATCCCTGCCAGAGCCTGAAAACTAGTGGTGTCAGGACTGGTACTTTTAAGTATCTAGCCTGTCATTGCTGGGAGGTTAGCAAGTTGCTTAAGCCTTTTGAGCCTCCTTCAGAGCTGGCTGTGATGTCTGCTTTGCAAAGCTCTGACACCTGCTTCTTGGTCAGCTCCAAGGCTTGAGTGATTTTCTTTTTTCCCCAGAAAGCCTTGCTGCGCTTCTGAGCCCCTCACAGCACTACTCAAACCCCTTGTTGGCATGGCAGCATCCTTTTTCTAGGCTGGACACAGGGGGCTTGCACGGTCCATGGGGACCCAGGGTGTTAGCAGAGGTGCTGCAGGTATCTGGCTGTGCCTGTGCGTGCAAGGGGGCAGCGTGCAGGAGGGATCAGCAATGGTGAGTTGTCGGCAGAGGCACCTCATGCTATGTGCTTGGGCCGGTGTTGTGCAAAGTGCTTTGCCTGCCTCCCCCACCGTGCCAGCGTGTGGCTGGCCCCGCAGTCTGCGCTCTCAGCTGAGGCACCGCCTGTGTCAGAGAGCAGGAGAACACAAAGGGAGCAGA